TTCTTCCTGAAGTAGTTCATAAGTTAAAGCCTCGGTCAACTTCAATCCAATATACCTAATCAAGTTCATTTGCTTTGACCTTTTGAAACTCATTTTAAACACGGGTACTTCACTGTGGAGTGAATTTCTTGACACTTGACACGGTGCAAGTGGAATCACCTTGTGAAGTATTTTCTGTGAATGCTCATTATACATTAAATATTTTAGCTGTTTTTATTTTCAACTTATTAAAAAGAAGTTCTTCAAGTTTAAGTCTGAATTCAAAGTATAACAAGCACTACCATCCACAAGTCCCTACCACATTCCAGCATGTTCATGGTTGGCTCATTCAATCTTCACCACAGCTCTGAGAGGCGGGTCTGCGCTGTTCACACTTGAAGAAAGTGAAGCTCGAAGAGGTCAGATAACTTCCTCAAGGCTTCACAGTGCTAGAAACACTCTGACTCCAAGGACCATGGTCTGTCCACTCCACCCAGCTGTTTAGTACTTACAGATCTCATTTTAAGGAGTTCCTAGCTAAACCTGTAAATGGTATATTGGCTGAGGACACTAACTGCCATAATGTGTCTTTCTTTCCTCTGTGTAAAATCCTGAGGTAGACAACCAATTAGCCTCAAACGCTATCTAACCATTTAGGGCAAAAACCACTGTGGTGGTTTGTTACAAAGTAGGTTTAAGAAGATTGCCAATAAAACACAACTCAAGGCCCCAAAGGAAACTGTAATATACATTATGTTGATTAATAATATTCGGAACCAATTTTCTACTAAAACCTCTACTGTAACAGACCATTAAAACTTATTTACAAAATTTCCACTGCAGCTGAATATAATTTCAGCTCAACTGTTTTCAAAGTTTTAACATGAGGATGAGCTCACCAAATGCCAAAAAGTCACCAAATTTCTACTTTAATACGAAGCCACCTGAAGGTCTAGGTCTCTGAGACAACAGTAAGTGATATTTTTTCCTCACTGAAAAAAGTCTTAAAATTGATGCTGTCCTCCTGATTTGAAGCATCTCTGCACTTACATGGAAAAATACAATAGCTATAAAATAATGTTTTTATATAGAAGAACCGTGGTGTGTGTGTGTTTTAGGAAATTAACGGGACATATCACTATTCCTCTAAAACTATGCGTTTTCATGATTTTGTGGAAGGTGAAAGGAGTTTTCATTCTTCGGATTACATCTAAGAATTTATTTTCCCAGTTGTTTTGCTGATAGGAAACTACAATTTTAAATTATTAAAATTAGAGAATGACTTTAAAATCCGTTAACTGATAAGAACCTGCCGATAAAAAATGAGACAAAATGAAGACGTCAGATAGTGAACTGAAATTGAAGAGGATAATGAAAATAAAGTTTCTCCTTAGTTTATGAGGGATGTGCCACATTAGCCACCTGTGACTGCGTTGATGGGAAGACATTTCAGTAATGAACAATAACGCAACCAGCATGGCAACTTTATCAACAGTACAGCAGCAGCCATCATCTCCTGAGCACCTACTGTGTGCAGCATTCTTAGACCTACTGTCTCTTTTAAACTCCACTACAACCCTATAAAGGAAGCGGCTATAGACAAGCAACACATGGGTCTCAGAGAGTCAGCTTGTCCATGTCACACAGCTGGTCAAGTGGCGAAGCTGGAACTCTAGTTCAGTCAGACTCAAGAGTGTATTGTAAATACTGCTACCTTATCTATCTTATAGTTAGGCTTTTTAAAAAGTACTTTTTTGACAACTTTTGAAAAGGAGGTCTGTCTTATGTGGTAGTCTGTTGCGTTAGTGGCCCCAGTGGGCTACGTATCCTGGTCTTCATGTGTTTGTGCAATTTCCTCCCCTGGAATCTGGGCTCATGACTGGCTTTCATCAACATAGTGAGGTAGAAATGATACTGTGTCAGGTCTAGGCCTCAGCCTTAAGAAGTCTGGCAACTTCTGTTTTTGTGCTCTTGAGAGACCTGAGTGGTCATGTCAGAAGGATGGCTCCCCACCTGGAGAGCCCACATGGAAAGCGAGAAAGGCCCAGCCAAACCAGTGGTCCAGCTGCTTCCTGCTCCTATCCATTCCCTCCAAGGCACCAGCCTTGTGGGCGAAGCACTGTGTTGGATGTCCCAGCCCTGGCCACCCTCTGACTATCTCTTTTAAAATATGTGTTTTCATGACTTGAGGGTACCAAGGGAGACCAGCAGAAGAATTGTCCAGCTGAGACCCACTCAACTCACAGAATTATGAGCACATAAAAATGATTTTGTTCTAACCCACTAAATTTAGGGGTGCTTTGTTACATAACAATGACTGAAATAGAAATTCACACCTGGAACTGAGGTACTGATGTAACAAAAGTTTAAAACGTGTCATTGGCTGTGAGACTGGCTGGGGCTCAAAGTGGTCACGTGACTTCCAGGCAGTCACAGAACCAGGAAACGGCAGAGTGAGGACTTGAATCACGGTCTATCTATCATTCCACTATACCTCATTATCTTCAGCCAAAAAACCACTTCTCAATGGTGAGCAAATGCAATTATAGCCCTTGATGTTGATGTCACACGGGATTCACTTCATCCTTTACTTTTTTTTTCTTTAATTGTACAATGGTACATTTTTCTCAAGGAAATTATGTGATTCTTGAGGGCAGACAGAGCTTCTTTTATGTCTTTTGTATTTTACATAGTAGTTAGCAGGTTTGGGGCCACAAAAATCCACCCATGCCCTGTGTATTTTGCATCAGCTTCATAAGGCCGTTCACCGCTCCCCGTGCAGTTCGGGACCTCTGTGCCTACGAGCATTGTTCTTTGCACCTCTGATGCTGTCCTCACCTTGTGCACCTATGAACTTGTCCTTCAAGGGTCAGTTCCCACATCACCTTGGAGAAACAGCCCTTGGCGTGTTAGTCAGTCCTCGTAAAGAACAAATTCTCCCGACCATGGGATGTGAACTGTGCATGCACCTAAAACTGTCTGTTCTGAGCTGGGTTCGGTTGGACCCACTAAGTCCTAAAGTTGGATGGGCTCTGCAGCTGTTCACCATAAGATCGAAATGGCCCAACCAGATTGAGCCTGAGCAGGACCAGAGGGCACAAGTAAGTGGCATGAACAGGTAACTCAGATCCGGGCCCCAGCCCCATGTCACCCACCACATTTGCACCAGTTTGCACTTACGGCTATATGGGGCTGGAGGAGAAACCAACACAGCTGGTGAAAGAAGAGGAAAAGTTCAAGCCCCAGATCAAGAAACCAAGTGTAAGGTGCCTCCTACTTTGTAGGCAATCAACAAATCATTGATACTTTCTCTGATTTCTAGTTTATGTGCTGGTGGAGGTCACGGACACATGGCTGGCCTAGACAGATATTCTTTTTACTCTAATACAGTGATTCTCCTTCTGTGAGAGACTGCCTGAACTGTTCGAGGTCATACGTCCCTCATGAGATCTTATGTACCCCCACCTACTTTCTCATTAGCTTGTTGAAGGAAAAAAAAAATGTGAACATTGCATTAACCATGTGTGTGTGTGTTTGTGTGTGTATGACCAGCAGTGGCTCCTGACATTTCCTACTCTTGGACAGAGCAAACTTAAGTTTTACTTTTTTTTTTTAAAGATTGGCACCTGAGCTAACATCTGTTGCCAATCTTCTTCTTTTTTTTCTTTCTCTCTTCTCCCCAAAGCTGCTTAGTGCATAGTTGTATATGCTAGCTCTAGGTCCTTCTGGTTGTGCTACGTGGGTCACTGCCTCAGCATGGCCTGATGAGCTGTGCTAGGTCTGCCCCAGGATCTGAACCCAGGAAACACTGCGCAGCCAAAGCAGAGGACAGGAACTTAACCACTTGGCTACAGGCTGGTCCCAAGAGTTCTACTTTTAATTTTGAGTAAATTCAATAAGAACAAGTCATGTTCTGCCCACACTCCTCTCCCACCTTGCAAACAACTGGAAGGGCAACATTTCACCAAAGCACTCCCTTTCTGCTGGCCCTCCAGAAGCTGAGACCAGGAAGGGAGTGTGGGAAAGTAAGGCTGGGGCAATAGAACCCCAAAATGCGTGGGAGCTGAGATCTTTTGCAGGAAAAGTTGGAGGAGACCTGGATAATTTGGGACCAAGGGGGATGGATGGAAAGGTAAGAAGGAAGGCTCTAGCTCACACAACAGTGAAAATGAATGCTCTGGATACATGGCTAAAGCTGTAAAGCAAAATGTTAAGGACTTGGAGCAAGTTCTGCAGAATACATACAATATGATACTACTTACACATGATTTAAGTGTATGTAAATGTGTGAAATAATGTCATATATTGATGAGTGGCAAATACACACGTAATAAAAGTATACAGAATTGCATAGCAATAGTGACTTCAAATTCAGAAAGTTGCATTGGTTGTCAGGTGAGCAGGGGACGGGTGGGATAAGGGAATGAGACCAGTGTAGGGTACACAAGAATATCGCTAACGTTTTATCCTTTAAGCTGAGTGTTGAATACATGGGTGTTCAGTGTGTGATTATTTTTGTACTTTGTGTACACCTTAGCTATTGGACAATACATTTAAAAATTGAAGAGCCATCCCTTAACCCCAGCCCCCAGAGATGACCACAAGTGATGTCGTCCAGACGTTTCCCTCGGCTTTGATTCTCCGATAAGTGGCCAGCCTCCTTCTCTCCCCGGCCGCCCCCCTCCCCCCTCCGCCCGCTCTGCAGAGTGCCCCGCTGGGAGCCCCCACGTCTTTTCTGGCAGGGATTTGAAGGCGCGCTTGGGCAGCGAGGGAGACTCACCAGAGACCTGTGCTGTCCTAAAATGACCTTTTCCAGCCCCTTTTCCATTAGCTCAAAGTTTCGGATTCTCCCTACACGCAAGGGGCCTGGTTGGGCCTGATTCCTGCCCCCATCTTGAGAAGTGAGCCAGACAGTGAGCGTCCCTGGGCCAGACCCAGCTTGGCCTCAGTGTCCTCAGCCTGGTCCACTCAGACCTCAAAGTCTTGGGGAGAAGATGGGAGAGAGAGAATTTGCTGGAAGGGCTCCAGCGGTCCTCCGAGTTACGGGCGCGGGAGTTGGAAGTGATGAGACGGAGAAACACTTATTTACCAGAATTTTAAGAGGGCAGAGGAAGACGGAAGGAGTGCGCCCCGGGAGAGGAGCAGCTGGAGTCAGGACTGGACTGAATGCTCCAGGGATCCCCAAGTGCTACTTACGCCCGTGGGGGCGCGGGCTCGGATCAGCTCCCGGGCAGCCGGCTCCTTGCCCCCTTCTCCGCGCCGGGCTGTCGTTTCAGTTCCCCGCACGGCCACCGCGGCGCAGCAGCGCGTGCCGCAAGCCCGGCTCGTCCAGAGCGTCCGGCTTGGAGGCCCGTGCGGAGCCAGACCCTTCGGGAGCGCTCAGAACTTGTTAGGTAGTAGAATTAGGACGGATGAAATGAACACTGACGCTTCTGCAAAAGACCCTGGTGTGATAAAGTCTGCAGTGGGCAGATGAATCAAGCAGACAATTTCTCTTTTCTTTCACCAAAACGCCATCGCCCTAGCCTGCCGGGGTTCTCCCAAGCGGCGACAGTCCCAGCAGGTGTCAGTGAGAGCCCTTAGCGGCGATCATCAGCCCTGTACAAACTACGGCACCCGCAGAAGAAAGGAGGCAGAATCAACTTTCTCTAGTTCCGGGGTGGCGGTGGGGCGAACCCAGAGGCTCCTTTCTCTGCTTCTCTCTCCGCGCCACGCTCCCACCTCCTCACTTCCCTGGCTGCTGATGGGGCCATTCGAACTGGAATCGAGGGGCGGGAGGCGTTGCGCGGAGCGGGCGTCCAGAGCGCGCCGAGCCTGGGGCGGCCGGGGAGGGCTGGAGGACGTGGGGCTGCGCCGCGATCTCCCTCCTCGGGTGCGAGAGAGAACTGCAAATCTCAAAAAGAAATTAATCAGAAAACATAGAGAAGCAACAAAGAAGACCTCCCCCCGCCACAAAGAAACCCCACACCCCACGCGTATCCGCCAAAGGTAATCAAGGCGGTTGTCCTTGCAGGGGTGGGTTTCCCCGTCCACAGAAGCGACGCTATTGGGCTGTCGCTCTGTCTCCTGCGCAATGCCCCGCCCCCGAGTTCAGCTGATAAAAGGACCGAACCCTGTAGGGTCGAGACCTCTGTTCTGAACTTGGGAGCCCCCATCGCCTTCTCCCGGAGTGAGGCGCGCTGCAGAGGAGAAACCTTGGCCGGTAATGATTGCCCCGGGCTCCTTTCACACAGGTCCTCCAAAAGCTCCTCTTCTTTCCTTCCCCAGGTCCGCGCCGGTTCCCCGACCCGGCTGTGCCGAAGGCCTGGGCACAGCCCCGAGAGCTCCTTTCCCGCTCGGGAGACTTGGTTTGTTGACTCTCAGTAGCAACTTCCAACGACAGGCGGGCAGTGGCGCATCGGAGAGCTCCGAGGCTCGGAATGCCCGGCGAGCTGGGGAGGAGGGAGAGGCGCGCAGCGCACAGCCTAATCTGACCAAATCCAGCCTGGTAAAATTTCCCCGCGGTTCAGGAGCGCGAAGAACTTGAGAGAAAACAAATAAGTCGGGTGCTGAGGCTCCTGAAGCTGAAGCCAGCGAGCTTGTGGCCTGGGGACAAATAGAGTCAGTGTCGTTTATTACAGGAGGCTGAGGCTGCGTTTCGCGGATGGCCTGGAAGCCCCTGGCGCAGTAAGCTCCTCAAACTGTAACGGCATCGGACAGGGTGGGCGAGCTCCCAGGGTAGCCCGCGAAGCCCTGTATCCCCCATCAAGTGACTAACTAGAACTCCCGTGGGTTGTGTGTGCAGAGGCTAGGCTGCCGTGAGTGCTCCGTTCCCCTCTTGCACACGACGGTTGTAGGAACCGGAAGGGAAGCCTTGAGGACTAGGGCGGCGGAGGGGAGAGGATGCTTGACGGTGGGACTTTGGAGGTTCCTCAACCGATGGCGGGTCTCCCCCGGAGCCTCTAGGAGGAGATGGGGTCGGTGGCTGTTTCCTAGCCTTGCCCTACTAGAAGGTGGCGAGGCTACGCCTGCCTTGGTGAGGAAATAGAAACTGATTCCACTTCCGTCTGTCAGGGGCGAAACTGAGAGTTCCTGTGGCCAGATGATCAGGGAAGTTGAGCAGTTAAGCAGGACAGCGCCCTGTGTCGGGGGTTGGAAGGCTTCATTTAAATGTCACAAGACTCTTCAACTCTTTTTGTTTAAATAAGCAGATGAGCCATCCCAAGTTTTAGTACCTTTTGCAAGTGAAAGAAGAGTGAAATGTGGTGATCTGCTCCTGGCCTGATTATGAAAATTCACAGGTGTTTATGCCTAACAGAAAACAGAAATCAGTATTAAGTATCTGCCAAATGCAAGTGATGGTGACGGACTCCCTTGTTATTGTAAGCCTTGAATAAATATCCTCATTTGGGTGGTTTTTGTTCGTTTCCACAGTTTTCCTGGAGTTTCCACCAAGATACCATCTGCACAGCTTTGGCTGTGGACCCCAGCCTTCAGCCAGGTGCGTTACAGACAGAGGCCCCTCCCGCCTTGCCAGTAGTGGCTTTTTGGGTCTGCGCCAACGTGGTAAGTCAGCACTGGCTCTGAATTCCTCTTTCTTTGCCTTGAGTTTCTCTATCAATCAACTGCTATTGATTCTCAGTTTGGTACCTGGGTTTTGTTACTGGTTCCCATTTGCTTGGCATCCTTGGTGGAATCAGGCATTCCTTTTTACCCCTTTTTGCTCTCTTTTGTGTTAGTTCTGTGTTGCGCTGTTTAAAAGTGTTTGTGGTAAGAAGAATCACAAGTTAGAACACAGGCATACACTGTATAGCCCTGTTCAGCTGGCCTCGCAGACCAGTGCGTTTGCAGTTCTCCCTGAACTGATGTCCGTTTGGACAAACTTGGCTGTGAGTCATCAATAAAACCAGATAACTTTCTCCTGCCATCTCGAGTTTTTGTCCTGAGATCTTGGCTGTGATCCAGAGAGAGTGTTCTCTCTGGTTTTCCACCTGCTGGGGATGCAGATTGTCCCGTCTGTGTTCAGAGGTGACCAACTGTAAGATGGGGGACCTGAGACACAGGGCGCACAACCGTTACATTCCTACAGATGGTCACCACCTCTTCTGGGGTCTTCTAACTGTCAATCCTCTCCTCTTCCTGGAAAACGCTCACTTCCTATACACTTTATACTGATTCTTGCTCTTATATTTCTAAGTGGCATAACTTCACTAAAGATGATTTGGGCCTTCAATGGCTCTTGGGAACATTTGACTTCTGCAAAGCCATTCGTTTGAGAGGCGCCTTAGAAAAGTAAAGGAATAGGATTTCTCAGGACCAATTGGACAGCGGGTCTTTTTTTGGGGGAGGGGGTGTATAATTGGCATAACACTATATTAGTTTCAGGTGTACAATGTAATGATTCGATATTTGTGTATATTGCAAAATGTCCATACAGTAAAGTCCACAATAAGTCCAGTTAACATCCATCACTATACATAGTTATAATTTTTTTTCTTGTAATGAGAATTTTCAAGATCCACTCTCCTAGCTACTCTCAAATATGTAATGCAGTGTTATTAACTATAATCACCATGCTGTACATTCCATCCCCATGATTTATTCATCTTATGACTGGAAATTTGTACCTTTTGACCCCTTCATCCTTTTCACCCATCCCCCAACCCCCCACCTCAGGCGACCACCAATCTGTTTTCTGTATCCATGAGCTCGGTTTTGCATGCTTGTTTGTTTTTTAGATTTCACATATAAGTGAGATCATATGGTATTTATCTTTTTTTCTTTTAAAGATTTTATTATTTTTTTTCCTTTTTCTCCCCAAAACCCCCTGGTATATAGTTGTATATTCTTCGTTGTGGATCCTTCTAGTTGTGGCATGTGGGACGCTGCCTCAGCATGGTTTGATGAGCAGTGCCATGTCCGCGCCCAGGATTCAAACCAATGAAACACTGGGCCGCCTGCAGCGGAGTGCACGAACTTAACCACTCGGCCACGGGGCCAGCCCCTATCATTTTTTTTGGTCTGAGTCATTTCACTTAGCATAATGCCCTCAAAGTCTATCCATGTTGCTGCAAATGGCAAGATTTCATTCTTTTTTATGGCTGAGGAATATTCCATTGGATATTTATACACCACATTTTCTTTTTGTTAATAACTTTTTTCCCAATTTTGTTGAGAAATAATTGACATACATCACTGTACAAGTTTAAGGCTTACAGCATAAAGGCTTGATCTGCATAAATTGTGAAATGATTATCACAATAGGTTCAGCTCACATCTATCTTCTTATATAGATAAAATAAAAAGAAAAGAAAGAAAAACAACGGAAAAAAATTTTCTCCTTGTGATGAGAACTCTTAGGATTTACACTAACTTTCCTCTGTATCATACAGCAGTGTTAGCTGGAGTCATCTTGTTGTACATTACCTCCCTAGTGCTTATTTATCTTTTAACTGGAAGCGTGTACCTTTTGACCACCTTCTTGCAATTCTCCCTCCCCCAACTCTCCACCTCTGGTAACCGCAAGGCTGGTCTCCTTTTCTATGAGTTTAGTTTTTTTTTAGATTCCACAAATAAGTGAGATCATACAGCATTTGTCTTTCTCTATCTGACTCATTTCACTTAGCATAATGCCTTCAAGGTCCATCCAAGTTGTTGCAAATGGTAGAATTTCCTCTTTTTTTATGGCTGAATTATATCTGTATCTATGTCTATATCTGTATCTATATCTATTCCATAACTTCTTTATCCATTCATCCATCAGTGGACACTTAGGTTGTTTCTATGTCTTGGCTATTGTAAATAATGCTGCTATGAACAGGGGGTGTATATCTCATTTTGAGTTAGTGTTTTTGTTTCTTTTGGATATATTCCAAGAAGGATATATTCCCAGATTGCTGGATAATATGGTAGTTCTATTTTTAAATTTTTGAGAACTCTCCGTACTGTTTTCCATAGTGCTATACCAATTTATAATCCCACCAAGAGTGCAGAAAAAGGGTTAGTTTTCTCCATATCCATGCCAGCATTTGTTATCTCTTGTCTTTTTGATGATGGCTATTCTAACAGGCATGAGATTATATCTCATTGTGGTTTTACTTTGCGTTTCTCTAGTGACGAATGATATTGAACATCTTTTCATATACTGTTGGTCTTTTGTATATCTTCTTTGAAGAAATGTCTATTCAGGTCCTTTGTCCATTTTTTAATTAGGTTGTCTTTTGCTATTGAGTTGTATGAATTATTTATATATTTTGGAAATTAACCCCTTATCAGATATATGGCTTGCAAATATTTTTTCCCATTCCATAGGTTGTCTTTTCATTTAGTTGATGGTTTCTTTGCAGAAGCTTTTTAGTTTGATGTAGTTCCACTTGTTTATTTTTTATTTTGTTGCTTGGGCTCTAGGTGGCATATCCAAAAAATCATTACCAAGACCCATTTCAAAGAGCTTTATTCACATGTTTCTTCTAGGAGTTTCAGGTCTTACATTTAAGTCTTTAATCTATTTTTAGTTATCTTTTGTGAGCGGTGTAAGATATGGGTCCAGTTTCATTCTTTTATGTATGAATATCCAATTATCCCAGTGCCATTTATTGAAGAGACTGTCTTTTCTCCATTGAGTATTCTTGGGTCCACTGTCAAATATTAGTTGAACGTATACATTTGGGTTTATTTCTGGGCTCTTAATTATATTTCATTGGTCTATTTGTCTGTTTTTATGCCAGTACCATGTTGTTTTGATGATTATAGCTTTATAGTATAGCTTGAAATCAGTTAAGTGTAATGCCTTCTGCTTTGTTCTTTTTCAAGATTTCTTTGGCTATTCAGGGTATTTTAGGAATTATACTATATTTTCCTTATCCATTAATGAACAAATGGATATTTAGGTTGTTTCCATGTCTTCGCTGTCGTAAACAATGCTGCCATGAACATGGGTGTGCATATTATCTCTTCAAATTAGTTTTTGTTTTCTTTGGATACCTGGAAGTGGAATTGCTTGATCATATGGTAGTTCTATTTTCAATTCTTTGAGGACTCTCCATACTGCTTTCCGTAGTGGCTGCACTAATTTGCATTCCCACTAACAGTGCACAAGGATTCCCTTTTCTCTACATGCTTGTCAACTCTTGTTATCTCTTGTCTTTTTGATAGTAGTCATTCTAACAGATGTGAGGTGATATCTCATCATAGTTTTGATTTGCATTTCCCTGATGATTACTGATGTTGAGCACCTTTTCACGTACCTGTTGGACATCTGTGTGTCTTCTTTGGCTAAATGTCTATTCAGACCCTCTGCGCATTTTTTATTCAGATTATTTGTTTTTTTACTAGTGAGTTGTATGAGTTCTTTATATAGTTTGGATATTAATACCTTATCAGATATGTGATTTGCACTTCATTTTGCTGATGGTTTCCTTTGTGGTGCAGAAGCTTTTTAGTGGTATGTAGTCCCACTTGTTTATTTTTGCTTTTGTTGTTAAATCCAAAAAGTCATCGTCAAGACTGATGTCAAAGAGTTTATGTTTTCTTGTAGGAGTTTTATGGTTTAAGATCTTACACTCAAGTCTTTAATCCATTTTGTTAATTTTTGTGTATAGCGTAAGATAAGGGTCCAGTTTCACTTTTTTGCATGTGGCTGTCCAGTTTTCCCAACACCATTTATTGAAAAGACTGTCATTTCCCCATTGTGTATTCTTGGCTCCCTTGCTGTAAATTAATTGACCACAGATACATGAGTTTACTTCTGGACTTTCTATTCTGTTCAATTGATCTGTGTGTTTGTTTATATGCCAGTGTCATGCTGTTTTGATTACTATAGCTTTGTAATATAGTTTGAAATCAGGGAGTGTAATACCTCCAGCTTTGTTCTTTCTCAAGATTGCTTGGACTATTTGGAGTTTGGGGCAGCAGTTTTGATTGGTATGCAGAGGCCTCCAAATGAAATTCTGAATCAAAAATTCCTTCACTAAAAGATTCTTTTCCCAAGGCTAATGAGAAATTAGCAAACTAGACTCATCCCTAGCAAATCCTCTCCATCCTCGTCCTCCAGTTCCCTTTCTGTATCCAGCTCTCTTTTCCCCCTTATCCTTCTGGTCTCTCTCTTACACCTCAGTCGACTTCTCCCTCTTCTTCTCCTTATTCAGAACCCCCTCATCTTTAACCAAGACTCTCCTAAAACTCCAAGATATCAGTTGCCTGTAAAGATCCATTCCTCCCATAAGCAGGGTATACAGGCAACCGTAAAATTTAAACCTTGGACCCCAGCTGAATTAAGAGCTATACTTAGAGATTTCCCTAAACCCAGACAAGACCAGCAAATATTCACAGAAGAATTTAGAATTCTTTTTGGTGCACATGACCAAGGTTACCTAACCTACATCAACTTGTACGTTTGTTGGTCAGAAACTCAGATGCTAAATCCTGGATGGCAAAAGCTGATTGGATTGACTCAGAAGGGGACCCATAGGAGCTCTTTTTCCACAATAAACCTGAGGGTCA